GTATTTGCGAATGCATCATTTAAATGATCGGCGATTTTATGTTCCTTTGCTATTTCGACGGGTACTACACTAATTTGGCTACAACACGGTACGAACATATCCCGTAGAAATATTATATAATATTACATGTTTTAGAAATAAATTCGAGTTTTCGAACGTATAATATTATTATTTCATTATAACCAGTTGTCAGCCTTACGATTTTTTTTTTAAATAAAATAAAAATAACAAAATTGTTATTTTTTTTTTTTTTTTTTTTAAATAATAACTATTCATTCTAAAACATTCGATTTGTAAAGTACCTGTGTATAATTACAGGACAAGGCATGTAGCTTTAGTCTGTTTAGATTGGATACTATCACGATAGTGTTGAAATTGCAACCGTGATAATTGTACTATCGTTAACTGTACAGTAAAAATCGAACTATCATACGAGACTTTGAAAGCGATAGTAACAATCCGTATCCTGGCGAATATTGAACATACTATCGTTGAATTGTCCAATTTCACTGTCATGTTGCACTTTCACATACGTTTCTGTCCAAATACACACTACTGTATCATCGTAATTTACGCAGGTCATAAGTCGCTATGTCTGTAATAATTAACATCGTGGTAATTGAACTAAAAACTATCACGGTAGTGATAACCCGTGGATCGGGTGTGCGGCCAAGTCTATGCGAGAGCATAAACCTGTATAAAATGTTAAATATACATTAAATCTACACCATTATAATGTAATATAATCTAATTACAGTATTTATAAAGATTTACAGTATTCTGAACAAAATACACATTTGAGTTATTGGGAAAATTTAACCGATACGGGAAATATACTTACCACCTATTGCCCACAATTAGATATTTCATCATATACAATTAAATGTTCGACTATAACAATATCACTTGAACACTATTAATATTTTTCATTTTTTATTTCATACAAATTTCTTACCACGCAACTATACTAAAGAAAATAATAAATCTCAGTGGAGTTATTTCGGAGTGATATTTCCATCACTGCAAGCTATCCCCAATAGGGTGAAAAATCCGTGAAATGATTGGGTTTCTCTTCGGTGTTTTAATTTTTAATTTTTTTTTTCCGCTCTACCCTCTCTCTCGTCGCTGCAGCATTATGGTTATTCGACGAAAACACATCTGTCACTAGAAACGCCGTCTTTCAAAACTAAAAATATAATTAAAAACCTTTTATTCGGTCGTATCCCCGCGCGTTCGTTTGTATTCCTGCAATTTAATATAGTCTCTGTCCGAAAAATTAATGGATTTAATTATCCCTTATCTCGTCGCGGAAACGACGGCGAATTCAAATGAGCTTTCTTCCCTCCGCAAAAACACAAGTAAAACGCTATTGCCGCGGCGGCGTCGTCTGCGTTTGAACGATCGTTTCAATTCGTTTGTGATCTTCCGCCGAACCCTTGACGATACACCGTGCGATTGGAAAAAATAAAACAAAACCAAACGCCGTACAATAATTAATCAATTATTTATGAAAAAAACAAAAAGGAAGAAATGTTTATTAAAATTGAAGTTATATTCTAAAAAAAAACCACGATATACGCTGAACATGCGCTTATAACAGTTATATGCGGTACTGTTGAACACTAGCATGTTATAATAACCGAGAATTCGGATTTACAAACGCGAATAATATGTTTGAACTGTTTATAAAATATTATACCGTGTGTATATAATAATACTTTGAATACGCGTCATTGTACGAACAAAATAAAAAAAATAATCATTATATCCTACGTTTAATTAAAAATATAATAAAACGACCGTTTGTAATAATATTTATACAAAAAAAAAATATATATTAATTGTATATTATTCAATATTGTGAATTCTGTATAGTGTATAGGTACACTATGCGTGCGGTATGAAAATCATATAAAAAAAACAAAAAATCTGTATTATATTATTATTATGATGAAAGCAATTTTTGTTTATTTTTTAATATTAAATATTATGCATATTTTAGTTTTGTTTGTGAACTAAACTAATACGCACGTATAAATAGGTCCCCTAAAATGTTATTGTTGTGTTTAAAAATGTACGTTTTTTTTTTCGGGGATGAAGGGCGATGGGGTGGAATACCGTTAATATAATATTATTATGGATTTTTACGCCCGGTAGACGAGGAATAGGCAACTAAATGTACGCGTTTCCGAAAAAAACCCTTTGAAAAACGTAAATTAATATTTAAAGTACACCGCCACAGTTATAGTTAGCTTTGCTTTTTCGATTTTTTTTTAAGCGTACGAAAAAAAAAACTTATTGAAAGGGAGGATAACAAATTCAATCGTCGAGTGAAAAACTGACGAAAATTCGCGTATAATTTGAGGTTTAGCGCGATGACTTACGGTCGGCTCAATTAACATTTTTATGAAAACTTTCGGATACTGTATTTTCTACAGTTTATATTATTTTTCCATATTTATAGTAATTATACATGTTATCGGAATGTCTCATCGTGCCGCAGTCAGTTTGTAGCTATCGCGTTAAAGCCCGTCGCGTGTTATCTATTTTTTGGATTTCGGCGGTCGGTCGCATCCGAGAATCAAAAAACTTTCGTCTCTGGACTCGACGATAAAACGTCTGCGTTAATTGAAAAATATACGCCGAAAGATATTTTAAAACGCGAGACGAGTGAACGGTTAATGTCATCGTTTTGAAATTATTATTTGCAAAAAAGGCGGCCTACCCTCGGTGCCCTCTATACGGATCGTTTTAATTCGATAAAAACTGTGAGAAAATGAAAATAAACTCTTTTCGCGACAGTAATATATTGCGAACGCGAATACCCACCGCAATCGTATAGTCTTCCAGAAAAATCAAAAAAAAAAAAAAAAAAAAAAAAAAAAAAAAAAAAAATGAAAATGTTCAATAAAAACCCGAAAATGTTTTTAAACAGAGACAGTGTAATATGCGGTTCCGGTCGTGCGGCGGTGTTGGCAACAGGACAACAGGACGGGGCCGGGTGGTATATAAGACAAATTGCGTGAAAAATAACGATTTCGAGAGAACAAAGATATTATGGACTTAACTTTTTAACGTTTGTGTGTTTATATATCCAAAGGACAAAAGGTATAGTTTTACCGCCAAAAAAGACGGGTTTTAACGTAAAATTGTTCTTTTGTTGTTTTGCGGGTCTCTCACCCTTTTTCGCGTCGTTCCCGGGTTTTTATGCCGCGCGCAGAGCGTTAGACGTTATCGTTCGTTTCAACGTAGTCGACCTGCAGCACGGTAGGTAGACGCAGCTCGTTGTTGTTATCGTGCGATTTAACTTAAATGATCTTAATAAAAAAAAAAAAAAGTAATACTAAATATCGTTTCATACGCTTTCGGTAGATTTCCCCCTTACTTTGGTATTGCACGGCTCTTGTTATCAGTTTTATCGCCGCGATAATATCTTTTCGTCGTGATATTTAACCGCTGTTCGAATATTTCTAATAATTAGCTTATTGTTTTCTTTAGTGCAGTCGACATGCGTCATTGTATTTATCTAGTACAATCGGTAAATGTGTAAAACATTTGAAAAATAGAAATATGAATTTTTTTTCTTATTTTAGGAGAAAATTAAAAATAAATTTTATAAAATTATCCGGTAACTGAAAAATGCTGTGGTTTTACTACGGTTTTTTTTTTTTAAAAGTAAACATCTTTTCCACCAGAAATCACGCTCTAATGAAAAACTTTCTCGTCGATCTAGTCGGTGCGCCGGGGTACAACGCAGCGTTCGTTTTCCTCGCAATCCTTTTTAATCGGCGTGGAAAACCGGACGTATTTCGCATCATACCGTCCGTCGATTGTTATCGACACCGCCCCGACGGCGGAACGGTAAAAGACACGACGAATAATGCGAGCGCCGCTCAGAATCGTTTTTCGTCGGCCGCGTGCACGGACGCGAATTTCAACCGCTACGCGCGCAGTATTATACGCGTCCGCGTCCCGTCGACATCCCTCCCGAAACGGCGGCGCACCCGTCGGGGGCCGCGGTGACCGCGGTCCTTTTTTTCTTCTTTTTTTTCCCGATCTCGTTCCGTCGTCTCGTTCGTTCGCAACGATATTACCGTGCAAGACCCATTTTATTATTGTCGCGCGTGGTTTACGCGGTGCACACACACAGACACACACGCACACAGACACACACGCACACACACACACACACACGCTCGTATATACATATACATATTAATAACGCCGCAGCAGTCACTATAATACGAGTCTGTATAAATAACGTCAGATACACACCGCGACGACGGATATTATAATGGATACTTTGTGTTACAATAACGTGTGTATCGAACGCGTGCACGCCGCGCAGACACGTATATCGGGCCGGATGCGCAATTAATCCTCCGGTATCCGATAATCTTCTTCTCCGGTTTTTCCGCTTCTCCTCCGCCTCGTTTTTTTTATAATATTATTACCTATAGGTATATAGGTACGGGTACAGCGTATAGGCGTACACACATGATATAATATAGGCACACACCGTCTCCGCCTGCAGTCCGCCGACGACGACGATGAAACTTACGAGACGAACACACACACACACACGCACACGGGCGCCCGTGTATTATATAAATAATATAATATGGGAGAGGGCACAAATCACGACATAAATCACACGGGTCGCAGTCGCGAAACGTTGCCCGTACCCGCGCCGAGCTATATATAATACACCGTATAATGATATAGACGGCGCAAAAATGAATAATAAATCGGACGCGCGAGAGTACGGCATTATTATAAGTTAATAAAATAAAAATACGATATATTCCGCCCCTTTCCCCCTACCCCCGAAATTTTAACTAAATTTAATGCGAAATTATTACCCATACCATGTACATTTTGACGAATTTTCTCCGAAAATCCTTCGACAGTTGCACCGTGTATTGTGTCTGAGTAGTTTGTCTTCCCGCCACTTTCGGAAATTTCGAACTGGGGCTCTCTTCGGACAGAATAAGCACAAACTCGAGAATCGGAGAAGTTTTTTCCGGTGATGATAAAAATTCGGTTGAATTTAAAGAGATTTTTAACTTTATAAATCCCTGCAGAACCCGATCCCGAATAAATTAGCTTTAGTAGTAGCGCGTTAGTATCAAGAATCTGCCTTTTGAGGGTTTTTTTAACTTTTAACTCTCACTCGTGCCATTTGTATGATCAAATGTCATAATTTTTATTTTGGAAGTAGTATAAGATGTTGGTGTGTGTTTTATTCGTTGTTTTGCAAAGTTCCTTTAATAAAAAATAGGCGGGAGAAAATTCGTCTTAAGTGACGGAGTTCTGTACCTCAGTGGCATTTTTTTTATCTCTCTCATTCGTCAATCCAGCCAGGGGCGTACGCAGGAAATAATTATTGGTGAGGAAAGGGTGTAGGGTAATAAAAAAAGGTAAAAGTAAGATGAATTAATACCGTTTAGCGTTTCATAGTTTGTTATATTTTGTTATTAATTTTATGCGTTTCGAATAATTGATCGCATCATTTTTAAGGGGCGGGGAGGGTTGAAGAGCGCCACTGAATCTTGCCATCGTAATGTATTTCTTTGTCTACCAAAAGAAGAACGCTATTAAAGAAAAAAAATAAGTGATTAACGAAGACGATGGAAAAGCGTTTGGAAGTTTTTTTTTTTTTTTGTTAATTTTGGCACATGACAAGGCGACGGGCGGCGCGCATCCCCTTCGCAATCGCCGTTAATGCGTTTTTTACGTCTTACGCGTCTTAAACTTATTATATTATGTAGAAAAAAAAAATATAATTTTAAAAGGGAAAAAGAATAATTAGTCCTCGCGTGTCTCTTCCCTTGCCGCCGCACATTTAATCCATTCGCGTAATCCTCGAAAATACACGAAAGTATTTTAGGCCCCTTGAAAGTTATTATATCGACGACCCTCCTTAATTCGGAAACGACTCGCCGGCCGTCCGGGGTGACGGCGCGATGGAGTTTGAACCCCCTCGAGTAAAAAAAAAAAAAAAAAATGGTTGAACAATACAATATAGTACATTATATACAATACCCTTCGCTGGCCTACGCGCGGCACGAGGATTTTTATATTGTTCTTAAAAAAAAAAAAGGAAAAAATTGTCATTTAAATCGCAGAACAGACGCGAGACCGCGGTGTAGCTGAACGCGTAATAATGCCGAGGGTAATAATAGAGGTCAACTGTGACACGAGCACGAAGCGTTCGAGAAAAGCGGGAATCTAAAAAAACTCTGGCAAAAAAAAAAAAAAAAAAACCCGTTCGATTATTATTTTTCGCATTACAATATATTGGAACGAAGTCCGCGGTTCGAAGAAATACCGTAACTGTACGCAATAAATCTGCGGACGGGTACGTTACACTGTCGCCCGCGTCTCGTTACTGCCGCCGTTCGCCATTTCATTTTCCGATAGTCGTTAATTTAATCGTAACGAATTAGTAATCGCGTTTAAAAAAACGGTTAGCGGTGTAGCGTGTGTTACCCGGTCCGACCGTACGCGTTACTTCGGCGTCCGCGTTTCGAAACGACTCAAAACCCGCGCCGATAATTGAACGAATTAACAGTTTTGAAAATTTCGATTTGCATCCGTTCACGCGCGTAGCTAAACGCGTGTCGCGCAAACGTACAACACAAAAACGCGCTATCGAAAAACCCGTTTTCCGCGGGTTCGGGTCGATTGTTACGCGGTTGATAACTAATCGTACAATCAATGTGCGGACTTCATTGACGCGGGGCTTCGAGTCAGTTTTGGCAGCGACTTCGAATTTATCGCGGGCGCCGGAGCAACGGACGTCACACCGGCACCGGGTACTGTTGCCCCCCGTTTTCCCGGGGGTTTCGGGCGGCGTACGCGTTTCGAAATATCGCGGCCGCTGATCGGTACGATTTTCGAAAACAACTATCGGGAAATGAGCGAACTCAATGACACGCGGGTGCCGGTGTACCGTACGCCTTCGCCGCGGTCGCCGTGCGGACGGCCGCGCCGGGAACGTGCGTCGGCGTTCCCGGCCCGTGTTTTTATAGCGACACGAAAAGTGTACGGTTCGGACGTTCCGACGGCGAACGGCGTCGTTTTTTTTTTTTTAGAAAGATTGGCCGATACCGATTTTCACCGACATTCCGGTGCCCGTGACAATCGATGTCGAATGTCCCGCCCCACCCCGAATCGAGAACCGCGGTAGTTAATTTTTTCCAAAACTCTTTTTTTCATATTCGGCAGTTATTTTTTTGATTTTGCGAGCGGGTTTTCATCACGGTTACTGTGATCGAATGCAGGAACAAACCGACAAATATTTACGGCGCGGGGAGTGGGGCGGCGTAACGGTTTACACGGTTTTACATTATCACACTAACGTTAAACAATTGTAAAGACATGTAAGTTTTCACAAAATATTTGGCCTTTTTTAAACGCGGTAAAACGTTTGAAACATTCTGGTGATTTTCTAGGCTATTTTCGTTTTCCGAAATCTTCGGTAAATCCGGATTCCTCCCACCGCGAATATATGTACACGCCCTTTTTTTTTTTTTTTTTTTTTTTACTCTTATTATATACTCGCGTTGTTATACCGTTGACACATTGAACGATTATACGCGTAATTCGATTTAACCAAGAGCGGCGTACATTTACTATGTTTCCTTCGACACTTTTGCCGTTTACGATTTTCGAACAAATTCACCTCCTCCGAACAGCGGACGGGATTTCGGCGAGCGCGAGACCGTCCGCCGTCCAGAGATTTCGCTGCGTTATTACTATTATTACACGCATCGATCAGTTATCACGTGATTATCGCGCTTACCCGCGGCGGGTTATTATCGTTACCGTACGTTTGTTCGGTGAGCGGGGGGGGGGGGGGGGGGGGTGGGGCCGTCGGTGGCGACCCCGGGAACTCGTACACTCACCCGCGCGGCGCGTAATAGCCCCGGCGCGGCCGCGTCGTCGGCGAATATGCGGGCCCCGCGAACCCGTCAATCGGGTCTTGAGGTTGGCCAAATGGGTTAACCGTGTCTGACGGTTCCGGAGCACGCACACTCGCGCGCGTACGCGCGTACACACGTACGCACACACACACGCGCGCGCGCACTCACACGCACACGCACGTACATTGTGTGCCTATACGCGATTACACGTATTATCATGTGCGCGCACGTACCGGCGTCCGTAAACCGCCCTTGACCTCGGCTCGCGGCGCGGGCTTTCTTCCTTGCCAAACCCCCCAACGCCCCCACCCCCCACCGGGTTATACAGGGCGGTCGGCGTAACGCGCGAGACGCCGTCTCGGAAACGGTCTCGGCGTTCTCCGTTTGTCTTTTTGTTTTTCCGGACCGCGTTTTAAGAACCGCGCGGCTCCCGCAACGGCCACACGGTCACGTCACCGTTACCCCGTCGTTTCCTGCCGTGCCCGTTACATCGTTTTCGAACCCGGCGCGAACTGTTCGATTCCCGAAATCCCGCGTACGTGAAACGGACGGGGTTTCGGTGTCCAAACGAATTCCCGCGTCGAAACGGCCGACAGAGACGCTTCGCCAAATCGTTCGGAAATCGAAAACGCGCGGCGGTTCGATTCGCGAAAATTAACGGGCGACCGAACGTAGAAACTGTGTTTTTTCGTTAAAAAAAAAACACAACTCTGTAAAAAAAAAATTAACGCTATCCGCGGGACAAATAGCGCCTTACCGATCACCGTGTATATCGCGATAATAACGCATACCCGATGCCTATATACAGGTTTTGCACCTATATACGATGTATAATTTCGCGCGTTTAATATGTACACCGTACGCATTACTGTACACACTGTACACGCCACAACCGCCGCTGGTGCTGCTGCTGCTGCAGGCGGAAACGACGACGGTAATAATGTATTCGGCGTCAATAATCTCGTGCCGGCCTTTGAATGCGTCGCACCGAGTCGTTAGGCGACGGTTTTCAGAAAGCAGGACACCTAATGATCCCGCAGCACGTGCGGTTGTTTTTTTTTTTTTTGTTTTTTTTTATCCAAAACGACCGGAAAGTAAAAACCGTCCGGAATGCTGCGCTTTTGCAGGGAGCGCGGACATCGAAATAAACCGAGACCTCGTCGCGTACGTCCGATGAGGGCACAAAAATAACCTAATAGCGAATAACCTCGAATTATCCGATGCACCGCCGATATCGCTCATCTACATATATCGTATTCGTGGGCCAATGTCGGAACTCGATGCGAAACCGCGTCGGATAGGTCAGCGGAAAAACCGTTTGCACAACTTCCGCCTGAATTCCGACGAATCGATTAGGACACTGGAAAACCGCGTTCTGGAAATCCATATATACCTATGTGTACAGCGTGGCCATTTATTTTCCGGATCGCGTACAACGAGCGGTAACGTGCCCGGGGATAATAACAATCGCGAACCTTCTATTCCGTTATCAAACCGAACGCGGCAATGCGAATTTAAAAATCGCCAAAATCGCCGATTGTTATGCCATAAGCGTTTTTCATTTTGACTTTTCTTTTCCTTCCTTCTTTCCGATTACGAGCGACGGCCGTCTAGCTTGTGTCGTCGAAAATGTCTGAAAACAAAAAAAAAAAAAAAACGAAAACACAAACGTTCAATTATATGTTTTGACAATACGTATATAATGTAAGGGAATCTCTCGAATTCCTCCCCTCCCCCGTTCTTTCACTCGATATTGTTCAGCACGAATGGGAAAAAAACCAATATAGCCAACGGACGTATCGTATACGGTAGAAAAATGATTGCGCCAAGTTTATACTGACACCACTTCGAAAAACGACGTATAAATACACGTACGCGTATATATTTTAAAACTGCGTGCACACCTATAATCAGATTAATTCATTATTTTACGGTCATCGAAAATAATTTGTTGCGATTCAATACCTACGCATACGCACATACACACACACACACACACACACACTGTATTTTATCAAACTTTGTGCAGCCCTTATTACTATGTAATATCGTATGATATTATAATACAATCACACATCTATTAATTTGTTATAATCGATTATCAAACTATAATGGTTAATCACTCGTAACAAATTAATAATATTCCTCTGTATAGGTACGTGTTTTTAATAAATAACCGCGCGTGTAACGCGTGTCTGCCTTTAAAACGCCGTTATTGTTCGGGGGTGGGAAAAAAAAAAAACAACAACCCCGCCCGGTTAAAATGATAAACTGTATAATATTTTATAAATTTCATACGAGGTAGGTACCTG